GAAAACAGCCAAGTTCAGAGAACCCCAAGGACTCCACAGTTCAACCCTGAGCTACACATATATGCTTCTATTGGTTGCTTTTTTAATTAATACTGCATATATTTAACTTGCAGTGCAAATTCCATTCTCTCGGTTTTCCTTCAGGTAGAAAATGTCATTCAAAAAGGTTTGCCTTGGATTTTTGTAAGATTCTGGACATCAGAATAGGTATTTCTCTCTCAGCATCTGTGTCCTGAGGCAACCTGGAGATAGCATATATGCTTTCTATGGACAAGGTTGGGGAGAATCCCACCCTGGAACATGATTGGTAGAAGACCCGTGTCCCCCTCTTCATTTTGCTTTATGTGTGAGCAGCCCTGCTGTTTCTGTGCAATAATGACAAAGCCCTTCTTTTTGTTTCCTGACATGGTTTAACAATATTCCATCTTGGCCCCAAAGGCTGCAGACCAGAGCCCCGGGGTCTTTTGAAAAGACGAATCATGAGAGATTAGGCTGACCCGCTAATCTGCAGTGTTCATCCTTTTACAATAGTTCACACAGAAGAGCAAATTAAGTGCCTATTTTTTGTGTCAGCCCTGAAGAATATCTGGTTTTCCAACCCTTAGTGACTTGTTAACAAACAGGTATCAGGACAAGGTAGTGAAGGCAGCCGCTGGCCAGCCAGATGTGAAATAGTATCTCTTTACTAACTACAGTATTGATTTCACCCAACCCTTGCAAACGGTGTAATTTTCTTTTCCCCGCTGCTAAACCAGTAACAATGTATGAAGAGCTTCAGGGTACCCCCCTCCATCCGTGTGCCAAAAGGCTCCTCTTCCTGGCATGCTATCGATTTTCCTCAAAGGCCTTTAAATTGCGCCTTCATTTTACTCAGAGGCTCATTTCATCTCCACTGAACACCAGCATTTTTCCGTTGTGTTTAAACAATTGCGCCATTCACTCGGTTCCTAAAGCGTGAGCCTTCTTATTTACTGGAGGATAAACAGTTTAGACAGTTTTTTGTTAATCTTGGATTAATTGTTCCTGTGTCTGAATTT